TGGTGGTGAGACAGGAGAGACAAGGAGAGCTCCCTCGTCCTCTAGAGCTGATAGCGGTGAACCCGCATTATTCTCATAGGAAGTGGGAGAGAGATGTGATGTCTGTGAGGTTGGGGTGACCGAACTCGCAGCCCATAGAATATTACTAATAGCTTTCCGTTCTTTCTTGGTCGTACGTATCCCTAAATCCTAACCAGATTCAGCATATTTGATGGAGAGTATCAATACCGTGGACCCACTCACTTTTCCCATCTCTAATGGGTGAAATTCTTCTCCTTGGAAAGCTGATCTGAATGGGAAGTGTCCAAGATGCAAGGAGCCAGACTTTGACGCAGCATTGGAGAGTCTCCCTCATTGACCGGATATACTCAAAAGCATTCTGGGAGAAATTCCTTTTGTCAGTTTCATAAACCAGTCAGCAGGCCAGAACCACCCGGAGTTCCGAGGGCTCAATAACATCACATGGAACTCAGGAGCATGTCATGAACCCTTGACTCCGAGTCATCATTTGCTTTGGTTCTGAATGTACGCGACTCGCAGCCGTCATGATCGCCCCATGAGGCCTGACCTCAAGAACAGGTATGTTGTTCTTCATGTAAAAGCCCCAAACCATCAGAACACCCCTAGAACTAGTAGTCTCTGTTGAGGTGATTTGGTGGATCACTCAGACTATACCCTGAATTTCGGTTTTGTGGATAGTATTGGTTGTGGGTCCCTGTGATTCTAGAAATTTCGTGATTCTTCAGGTGGATCCCTTTCTATCCGAATCAGGTTGGACAGTGGTCGTATTGTAAATGAGGAAGGGGTTCAAGACCTGGACACCACTGGGCTGGTTTGGCCAATCACCGGGGAGTGAACTAAGCTGACTGTGGCGGAGTTTGATTTTGGATCTGACCACTATCGCTTTGACGCAGTTGTCGATTGCTAATCCTCTGCAAATAAATAAATAAAAACCCATCAAGTACATTAATATATAATGTCGTCGCCTGAGGCGTTCCAGATCGCTCAAGTACCACTTACGGCACACTCGTTTTCACCGGATCGCTCTGGTTTGTATTTCTCACCTATGATCTCATGCCGATCTATTGACGTGGCTGAATATAACCAGCCATTGCATTGGGTATCAACACCAACGAGGCTCAGATTTATACGAAACAGGGCTATGAGTGGCAACAAGTCCACACTCTCGCACAGGTAGGCCGAGACGTACCGTGACTTCGGGGATTTTCGCTCAACTCGCCTCCATAGCACGACAAACTCGTCACATCCATCGACTGGGCGCCGACTACAGACCGTATTGTCACATGCGCGCAAGACCGGAACGCCTATGTATGGACCAAGGAACCAGACCCGACTAGTACATCTCAGTACAAGTGGAAGCCCACGCTGGTTGTCCTGAAAATCAATCGTGCTGCCACGCAGGTACGCTGGAGCCCCTCAGAGAACAAGTTTGCTGTCGCGAGTGGAGCCCGTTGCATCTTTGTATGCTCATTC